ACTTAATGCTCTCGAACCCACATGCCTCCTACGGTGGTACACATGCAGTTGTGATGTTATGTTGTGTCAGTATTTATGTAGCTGGCTGAAAACGGGATAGGATTTTTACGAATATCAGCACTTAATGTACAAATAACTTATTGCATGTGTGATTATAAAATGAGGAATTCCTAATATGAAACTTATAGTTCAAGGAATTAATCTAAAAATCTTCCAAACATCTTAAATCCATTAAGAGCTGAATATTTCCTCTGTTATTGTAAAATCAATTCTTTTTAGGACTAAGTGGAAATTTTTTAACATTTCTAAAAGTATCCCCATCTGCTATAATTTCCATTAAAACTTCATTCTCACAGAAAAATGTCAACCTTTAGTCTAATCATATCTTATAAATATTTGGAATGCATCTGTACAAGATGAAAAGCTTTTTCTTTTTTTTTTTTTGTAAGGATGAAAAGTCCGTATCTTCGATCATGAAATGCTTTAATCAGCACGACTGCCTGACGCAGTGTGTCTGATGTCCCTTGCCCAGTGCCCTTCATTTACAAGAGCGAGGCAGCAGATGGCAGCATACAGTGAAAAAATGTTAACATTAGAAATAGTACAACTAGCAATGTTACTGCTGAAGAAGTCATAAACTTTTGCTTCCCTTTTTAAAAAACGGTTATCGTACATAACCAGACTGATACAGTGTTGAAAACAGTGTCAGCAACTCTACAGAAGGGAGGAAGACATGAGAAAAAAAAACTGTATATAAGCATAGCTGTTATAAACGGGTTGTAAGAAGAGACAGAAATGTTGACATACAACTTGACATCTTGGAAATACTCAGAAGTCTTCATGCTTAGCACTTCGCAAGCTGGGTATTTAATTAGAGTCCAAATACTGTGTTGGGATCGAACTTCGAAACAAAAGTGGGCAGCCTAATACATGTATTTCCCGGGTCACAATGCAGCTATATAAAATGGCAAACCTTTTATTGCACTGTGAATCTCCATACACTTTGGTCACTCAGGAATCAGTATTGAGGGACAGAAAAAGAGAGAGAGAGAGAGAGACTGTCCCTGACCAGTGCAGCACTGTCAAAGATGTCATAACTGGATTCAGTGGTTTTGGTTCAAATTCCAGGAGTAGCTTACTCTCATTGCAAAAAGAGTGCTCACCTTTAAGATTTATGATGCTTAAAAGACTTCATAGAACAAAAAGCACCTCTGCCATTTGCAGTTTGCTGTTGCTTTCATTTGAGGAAAAAAACCCCAAACTTGGGGTTAACATAGGAAGTTATATTTAAAACAGAATACAGATTCCTTTGGAGAACAAGCCAGAGTCAAAGAAAAATTTTGAGAGGTTCATGTAAGTAACACAGCATAATCCTGCTGTTATCTACTACGTGTTTGGCAAATATAGCTTCATGGTAATTTACATGTTGAAAAAAACTTTTTGTAGGGTGAAATAACAGGCTGTGAGAATTCAAATGAAAATGTGATTGTGCTAAAATTTGCTTTCATAATTAACTGTCTTACCCTGTCTTTTAAAACACTTTTTTTTCCTAAACATAAATATGAAAGGCGATACTAACTTAATCAACATGGTCAGATTCTGAAGTCTTTCATCATCTTCTATTTGTAAAAATTCTTAAGTTTTAAAGAAACAATATTTTAATTAATATTACATATAAGAGTCTTTCTCCCTAATGCTTACCAGAATAGCTTTCAGTTTTTCCTGAATGAGTAAAATAAGAATTCAAGGAACACTGTAATATCAGCAAAATTTAGAAAAGTAATATAAGGACTTTAATAAATAAATAAGTAAATATAAAATAAAGGTATTATTCAGTGAGACCAAAACCTATCACCTTTCAAGTGGCGTGAACCACTGTGAAAAATTTGTCTGCACAAATTCATTGACATATTCTGTGTGTGTTTACACACCTCATAGTTAATTGAATTATCTAGAAAACATAATGAAGTGGGAAATGTAAACGTTTCAAACAGTTGCTGCCATGATAATTTTTTATGAATATTTAATTCTGAAATCAAGGTTTCCTTGTACTTACCAAAAATTTTAGCTTCATTTCATAATTTAAAAAACAGTGTAGTAAAGTAGCAAGAAACTTGAACTCTATTTCTTAATCTAGAAATCTATAAATTATTCTTCACAGAATGATTTTGCTTCCTCTAAACAGCTGAAATTTTAAAATATAATATGAAACAAAAACATATGTGAAAGGCTAAATTATTTTAGTACATACAAATTAACAGTTTGCAAAACTGTAATCTAAATAATACAACCTTTTTTCCCAATCCTGTAAGAAGATTTATGAAAGTGTACTCCTGAGCTCATCCAGGCCGTCAATGAAATCAGTAGCCACACTTGAATCCCATTCTAGTGCATAACCAGACTAGGTCATTTGGTACTTGCCGGCATAATTGGTGCCTAAAATCACTTTGAGAAATAAATGCATTTTAAATGAGTCATTACAGCTAATCTGAAAAACAATCTTCTCCTAGATACCAGCTATTCTGGTGATAATAGATTTCTGATTACCTTTGCACAGCATGATTAAGGCTAAGTTGGTCACTGTTGAAGCAAGAGGGATAGGACTGCCAAGAAAAGCAGTAGAAAATAACCATGGCTGTTTTTTTTCACCTGAACAGAAAATAGATAGGCTTTGCAGAGCAGATGTTCAAGGACAAAAATTTGGCCACAACTTTTAAGCCTTAGTTGCTATTGTCCTTCATCCAATTTTTTATATTTAGGGAAAAAAAAGGCAATGATAATTGATTCGAGCTTTCCTTAACTAGTTCGCTTTTAACTGGGCGTTGGAGAAGGCTGTTGTAACTTATGTTTTGTTAGTAAAATATACTTTAAATTCTGTAGCCACATATTGTTTTTATAATAATCAAGCCAAATTTAAAAATAAAATAATTTCTGGTATTTATTGTTGAACAATATTATAAGTGTCCAGATGTGTGGCATTAGTTTGTAGAAGGCAATGACATATAGGATATTTACATTCCTTGCTCTCCAAATCCAGACCAGACTCTCCCATTTTCCAGTGTTTCTCATGACCACTGGGGCAAAAGCCTGTTGATTTTATATTTTTTTAAGCTGATTTCAGCTCCCATGTGATTAATGTTTGCCAAGTGTATATATTTGAGTGTTAATATTCAAAAATCATTGTCTATTTTGGAGACTGGTGAATAAAACCCCAGAACATAGAGATGTGCTAATTATAGAAGCATGAACATTCTTTACTCTGTAAACATAAGTAATATAAAGATGCCAAAAACATTTCTTACTATCCAATCCTAAATTATGTGGAAAATGTACCTGTTCAATCATGTGAATCCTTATTGCATAAGGATTGTCCATTTGTGCACCTTGCCAAACATGTACATTTTGAGTTAGTTGTTGTACTGTGAACCAGACACTCTATTGATCACATTATGCTATTTTACCCTGACCATGAAATGTAATGGTGGCAGATTCCTAAATTTAGGATGAAGGGTATTCAACTGTATACTTCTCACAAGCCCAAAATAAGATGTATGTCTGCATATCAAAGGCTTTCATGCTGCACCCTGCAGAATCACAGAAAAACCTTTCTATAGAAATAGCTTTCTATAATGCTCTGGGGAGAATCCTCTTCTTCCTTGTCATGACTGTATTCAGTAAGGAGTACTCTGTGCACGTATGTACGCATGTGTATGTTTTTATATATATATGTGTACTGTACACAGGCATTCACACTGACAAGAATAGATTTGACTATCCGTGATTTTTTATGAAAAGTTAAATAACTTGCGTATGTAAATACCCCCCCAATTTTCTTTAAAAGAATATCTACTATTAATTTGAAAAGAAAATTATAATTGATACTGAATTTTAAATACAATTCTGAAGACGTCTGCTACTGGAAAGCTTGTTTAACATTTCATAAAATCTGCCCATAAAAATTTAAAATGTCCTGCTTTTCCATGAACCAATGAGTGAATCATTTCCACTAGGATTATCAAACCAAATCCTGCTTATGGATATTCCAGCACATTGTGACATTGTTAGAATTTTTTTTTTTTTAATTCCGTATAAAGCTGAATTAACATAAATGGACATAGTTTGTCTATACACAAATTTCCTATCTCTAAGATAAGATCTTGTGTAGTTAATATCTTTTCCAAGGTCTTTATCAGGGACTAGATTTGAACGCGTATCTCCCTGCCTTATTATTCCCACCCCCCAAGTCTGCACATGATGCCTTGTTTTAGTTGTACAGTCTGCTTTTGATCCAGTCAACAGATTGCTATAGTTTGTTTAAAAATACCACATATCATTCCATAATGTAACTAATTGCAGTTGTACTCTTGTTTACATATTATTAATAAACACAACAAAATAAGTTGTCCTTGGAGACTAAGCATCTGGAATCCTTGAAGATCTGCAGTTGCAAACACCAAAAAGGAAGTAAAATCTTTGAAACAGTCCATTACCATGAAAAAGTAGCTTGCTGAGTTTCCAGTGCAGAATAAACCTATTCGTACACCAGCTACTCTGACAAAAAAAAAAAAACCCAAAACAAAACTATGACAACGGTCTCCCTTACAGATAGAAAAACACACTTTGAGGATTTTTATGAGTGGTCTCTACATGGAAATCATCTGTACAGAGACATCCCTGATGTCCGTTCTGGGCAGTGTTTCAAGGAGATGCCACTCAATATACCCTTTTTAAAAATTCATCCTGAGTAGAGTCCAACACTAAACACGACGAGAAGAATACAGGAACTTCTTTTCTAGTGGTATGGGATGGCAGTCAAGCACCTAGCAGCAGAATACCTAGCCATGCAGACCAGGTGAACAACAGGTCTAGAGATACACAAGGGTGAGAACTAAGGGTTATTTTCTCCTAGTGTGTTCCAAGAAAACTTATGCTTTCAAATAAAGCTTGACTGCAGGTAGGAAGGCAGCTGAAGTTTTGAACAGTTGAAGCCACAGCACATGTTAGCACTCAGTTTGTGGATCAGAAGGGTACACAGTCAAAGCAATCTGAAAGCCCAAAGCCAAAAGGAGTAGAACATATCTGACAGGATCTTGTTTTTCCCAGTTTGCAGGAGAACTACACTCAAGCAAAAATGGTCCACGTTTTTGTACTTATCAAACCTACTATGATAAAAATGAACATACATTGTCTGAACATACTAAAAGGAGCCCGTCCCCAAATCCCACTATTGAGTGTAGTGAGTTGCAGCATGCAAAACTTCAGGAAAGAGAGTTGAGTTTGGAGGAAATTTAACTTCACTATTCAAAAAGGTTAACAAAAGGGGACTTTGGATTGTAGCTCTACAACCCACACATCAGCAGAGATTTTTTGAATACTCACAATTACTCTACAAATTATAAAAAAGAAAGAATCTCTTCAAAATCATATACATTAAAAACTATATAATTAAGCAATATTCGCAGATATGTTCAGCATGATATATCCATCACAGCAAAAGTCAAATAAATACTTATTAAAGGTGAATTAACACATAACATCTAACTCCAAAGGAAGTGACTCACACTTCTGTAAAGACAGGTGTTAAGTTCCTCAAATATTAGTAGAGAAACCTAAATTTAAAAGGGATGTTTAATACCTTAGAGAGTGTCTGCGCTCTTCTCAGGATCTAGGAAAATGGGATATCACCTTCTAGCATAACATATGTTCTTATTTGAGAATTTGTGCTGCACTGTATGCAATGGCAGAGTGCAGAGCTCTCTATTTGCTATAGTTATGCACTGATGATAAATTACAAGTGAATTTATTTTTGTACAAGTGAACAATCCTAAATGTAAATGTTTATTAGAACTTTTGTTACTGCCTCAATCGAAGGCATTAGTTAACTTGCTATTATTACAGTGCAGTAAATGACAGTTGGCCTCTATTTTACTTTTTATAAACTTGTTATAAACATATATATTTATGCTAACCACACTTTATATTTTAATATTTTATCCCAGATTTTCTGCTGGTCCGGTTAGCAGCAGCAGTTGAATTCATGAACAGATGGAGCAGGAGATATGCTAAGACTTTTCAACCTGGGCGAAGTTTAGAAGAGCCTAGATTTTTCTGCTTCTCGAGGGAGTGGAAACAGCAAGTGCAAGAGGGAACAGAAAGTACGTCAGGAGTTTCTAGGACATCCAAGCTTTTCTGCACATTCTGATGGCTGAAGCATTATGAAGAAGGATTCTTTGGTAGATAGACAATGGCAAAAGAAAGGACCATGCTCCCAATAGCTGTATGGATGGATACAGAAGGAGGCTCCTTGCTGTATCTGAGCTCTCAGACCTGACCTTCCTCACCACCCAGTGTACATTGGCACCTGCAGGAATGGGTCTGTCTGCTCAGAGGCTTCCCTCCAATCCTCAGTGTATGAAACTGCTTGCCAAATTTGTTCTTAGAATGACATTGTCCCTTCAGTAGGGTAATACCTCAGTTTGCAGTACAAAACAGTTTAGCCTCTCAAGAGGACTAGGGTGGCTGGGTTTGGGCAACATAAATCAGGCTACATGATTCAACCGCCTTTTTCTCTGGCTACATCCTCCATGAGATTTTAGGACACATTCCAAGTGATACCACTTCAAGAAACCTTATCTTCCAAAGTAAAATGGAATAGCTCCTTTAATTTATTTTCTTACATAAAAAGTCAGCTTATTATAATCATCAGTTGATAATAGTGTGTTTCTAAATGTGAAACTTCTAGGATTGTTTGCCACTCAAATGGCACCTTGAGACAACCTGCATTTTTAGTCCTTTTTTTTCAGTGTCACACACATCCTGCTGTACAATCCATGTAAAGAATAGTATAAAATATCTTTATTTCACTTCCAACCTGATATCGTGAGTGATGTTAAGAAAACATAATCTTTGTACTCACCCCAGCTTTTGGTTTAGCTCCAGAGCTGGCTACCAAACAGGGAGATGCTGGGTCAGGAGCATGGATGTTAGGAGACAAGTTTGTTTGTGAGTGACTTACTGAAGCAACATCCACTCCACTTTCAGAACCAGATTCAACATCCTGTAAAAAAAATGTTGCAAGTCTCTTTAGTAAATGTAAATATGAAATAAAAATCTAGTTCTTCTAAGTAATGGAAGTATTTAGACAGACCCACTCAAATATATATGGTTAATTCTCTGTGTAAGAGTAATTCCCCTTATTCTTTTCCATTACCTACACATTCACTTGCTGTCCTTTTCAATGTGGTGGTTTGCATTAGCTGCTGTTCTGAAATTACAAATCACCACTAACATCAAAGCTATAATTTCCCTAAATGTTAGAATGCAAGGTAAGAAAAATCAGTTTGGGGTTGCAGAAGTCTGACATTTTTCTCTGATGTTCAGTATTTCCTGTGTGCTCCCACCTTCTGTCTCCAGCAGCATTGCAAGCTCAGAGAACATCTGTAAACCATTACACAGCTGAAATGACATCACCATCCAGCAGTTTATACAATTCAGAGGTACAGCTCCCTAGTTTTTTTAGAATCAGCAGACACTTATCAGCCAAATGCTATTTCTGGTTAAAATGCCCTTACTTTAATGACACTAATTACATTCCTTTTTCGAGAATAAAAAGAAGAAGAAATACAGTATGTTTTATTTTTGAGGAAGTAAAAATATAGTGCGTGCTTGATTTATAGCATAGAGTGAGGGCAGGGGATTATACTGCTTGTAGATAAATTGTGACACATATCTGGCAAAGACCTGGCTATGCACAGAACCAGCCATATACTGTCAGGATTATTAGCTGAGGTGCAGCCTGCGTGAATACAGCTACACAGTTCACAGAAAAAAGCCTGAACTATTAACCCCAGCCAACTCTTTGCAGACAAAGCCTCCGTTTCCTAATACCAAGTTCCTAGAATAGGTGAAATATGGGGCAGAGACATCTCAGGGGTTCTGCTCCTGAACTGGAAAGAAATGGCAACCCTTTGATTCATTAATTCCAGTTAAGCCTCCAGTCTGCCAAACTGAAGCTGTCAATTAGACAGGTACTTCTACACCAAGTACGCAAGTGTGTTGTTTTCTGAAAAGGGTTAGAAATTAGAGACAAAGCTGCACTCTAGGTAGGACCATGCATTTGAGTCAGATATTTCCTGCCAGTGAGTCCTCTGCAATGTGAAGCATTGGGAAAGCAGCAGAGCCATGGAAATGACTCTGTAGAAGTCAGCTTGGGTACAGCTGCTCTTAGAAGCTCCTGGGTAGCAGAGCCGTGCTGCCACAGTGCAGAACCACGTTCCCTGCCCCGTTACCCATGTTTTTGCATCACCTTCAAATGCTTCGTTACTATACAATCGATATGAGACTGAACACAATGCACAAGTGCCCTGAAAACCAAATTTTTTTATCTTCTGATTCAAAGGCTCAAAAATTCCTAGAAAATTAGCGTATATAAATAGCATATATACCATGCTTGATGCAAGCTGTCTTTCTGGAGGGCTGCTTTGCAGCATGGAAACAGGTACCGCCTCTCCTTATCATGCAGGCTTACTTATACAGATTGCCCCAACTCCCTTTATTGCTGTAAGAAATTAGCTAAAATGCTTGCACTCATTGGCGAGATACGGAGAACAGATGTTAACATCGTATTTCAGCTTTCCTCTCCCATCAGTGCTCAAGGAGATACTATGAGAACGTTGATATCCAGGGGGAAAATGTTTAACTATTAAAAGTGTAATTATGTTATGTCCTTTAAAAATGACATATTATATAATCTTCAGCTGACCAAACCCACAGAAACGTAAATATAGCTTTTCTCACCTGCAGACCACTTACTTGACTATACAGCAGTAACGAAGTCTGGCTTTAACAGGAAAACCCCCTCATTATTTAAAAGAAAATACCACTAAAAAAACCAAACGACCTGAATGTTAGCCTAGAGCTCTTGGGGCAGTATTTCTCAGGTTTCTTAAACTGAAAAACAGCTGCAGCACATGTGGGTGAATTTAACAGGAAGCCTGCATGAGAACACCTTGGGTCAGCCATTTCGTGTTCTTCACAGTTACATGTGTAAACATTTTTCAGAAAAAAAGAACGCATCAATCATGCTTGTGAGCTGTCTAGTGTCCCTTCAGACTACTCTCAGCAAGGAATTATCTCATTTAAATAAATCAAATAATTAAAGAAATTTAAACAATTAAAGTTCTGCCCAGAATCTTATTTTGAATGACAGAGGATTTCGTGTCTCTGCCAAAAATTTCATGGACCCTCCCACTAGCAGAAAAACAAGACCTGTAGCTCAGACTTACTTTCAGTTCTATTTAATATCAAATGACACATACACATATGCTCTGAGACTGGTGTCATCCTGACTCTGTGCTGACTCTGCATTTACAGTAAGAAATAATTAGAGAGCCAGACATTTTCTGAATCTTGTTGATCTTCCTTTCTTTCATCTGGGAGCTCTGAACCTCTCATTTATGAAATGGTGCCAAAAGGAAATAATGGATGCCACTGTTACTGCCTTCAAAACATACATATATACAAACAAAAATACACAGCAAATTCTTTACAAAAAGAGCTTTAGTTCTGAAACCAAGGAGCTGATAAATGTGAGAACTGGGGAAAAAAAAAAAAAGGGAAGTAAAACCAGATTCTTCTCAGAATAATAAGAAAGATTAAGCAAACTGCCTTACAGGTATATGCCTCCGTTTGTATGTTGGGGTGCTGGATGGGGAAGAGCCTGCGCTGAGAGCATTTTCAATATCCTGATCAAGCTGGTCCAGTTTCATAATTAACAGCACCATTGAATCCAGTCGTGATCGGTCCCGATCTTCTGTTATTTCCTAGGGAACAGAATATACAATTGTTAAATCTGAAACGACATTACTTGGAAAGAATAAGCTCAAATTAAAAGCATTAATTTGGCATGAAACTCCATTGAATAATGAGAAGAAAAATCTCTTTTTTTGGGGGAAAAATACTGTTTTGTGTAATCAATTCACAGAGCACTGACTTACTGCTGGGAAAACAAGCTATATTAATATTTGATATACATCCATTATAGCAATTAAATAAATTAAAAAAACCCCACAGCTGTTTGGTACAAATACATCATTACCATTTCCTTTATACACATACTCTTTAAAGAGCTAGTGATTCTAAACCCTGCCTCCAAATATTCACCCCAAGTTAATTAATTTGATTGTACAAATACAAATGATGGAGGTTAACGTATAATTGAAATGGGAGAGAAGGAAGTTCAAAGAAGGCATTTTCCAGCTCAGGACTTTTCCTTGTGGAACTCATCAGCGTAACTATGTTTTGTCAATTCTTGGCAGAGATTTCTGTCTTGGTTGGAAATTCTTGATATCCATGAGATACGATAACGTTATAGTAAATACAGCATTGTAGATCCTCCGACTGGAAAGAGAGAAGGATGAGGGGTATTTACATCACAGCCTTAAACACCTAGTTTATGCAGCTTATTTTCCTATACTCCATTTGTATCAAATGGAGACAGAAAAGATCCTTGAAAGAGCAACTCAAAGCAAGATCTTCAGTTAGATGGAATAAATAATGTTCTTAAGGAATTTCCCCCTCTCTTTCCCCTTTATACAGAGAGTTAATGCAAAAGTTAGCCAATGAGCCTGCCTCAAAATTCAGGAATATGAAAACCCTCACTGGATTTTAACAATAGGAAGTTAGAAAATAGGAAGTTCCATTAACTCACTTAAAATAATATTTTTATGAATCCTTCTTAAGAAATGGAAACAAAGATGTTATAATTACTTCGTTGTGTTCAAGAAGTAGGTAATATAAGTGCCCAAATCAGCCTTTTTTGATAGTCATTAAACTGTTTTTCAGGCTACACAGTAACTTCTCCTAACTAACTAGTTAGGATTCTATTAGAGGGTTTTTTACAGACTGCTTCAAAGACGTTGCAAAACATGAATTAAATGATTCCTGCTAGAATTAAAGGAACTGTATAGATAAAATGGTCATATAAACCATGGTCTACATGGTCTTTATGTGAAGACAGAGCTGACCGAAGGTTAGTTAACTAAATCTTAGAAAAGCAGAAATACAAATCTGTCAGTCCATAGCAGAGTTATGAACAACGTTCAAAGCAAAAGCCAAATCCAGGAAAACTGTGTATTTCATTTTTTATTACAACATGATATTTTGGATTGGTTTGCTGAAAAAGCTGATGAATTTCCAGGACCTCCTGATGAACCTGATCTGAGTTTAGAATGACCCTGAGAGAATATTACCTCAAAACAACATAGCAATCAGTGAAATGGGTTAAGTTTAACTTTCTTTCAAACTGAAAACACAGTGTCCCAAATGATTCATTGAAACTCCATGCATCTTCATTTTAACTGATGTTAAATTGACGTCTGAAGTTTGCAAATGTCAGAACAGTTATTTAATGGGTGCAGAAAGCCCAGTGGAGCAAATAAGGGTCTGCTAACAAAGGAGACATGACCTCCTTTGTGGCATGGGGCTACATTTGCCATGGTGGGTGAGATGGTAGCCACTTTACCCATCCAGAGGGGTCCAGTGCTGTTACCAAAACTAGCCTCCCACACAGTCCCCTAACTATGTATTTATTTCTATTAGTTTTGCTTGGAAATATAAAACTGGAACGGCTAATCAACATAAAAGTTACACTTGAATTAAACCCCAAAAGTTAATTGCCACACCACAACAAAATGAGTAGTGGTGACTGGGTGGGGTTTTTTGTTTGTTTGTTTGTTTGTTTGTTTTCAGACCAGAGAGATAACAGGCATTTTACAGGAAGGAAAAAAAAAAAAAATCTGGAATTTTCCCCAAGCAAATTGTTTGACTTATCCTGCCAAAAAAGTATAAACTTGCTCTGCATGTAGCAGATTGCGAATGCTGGAGAAGAATCTGCTGAAATGAAGAGGTGGCAAAATATTGCTCAAAGTGATACTCAGACTTGACACAATGGGCTGGGTTTGCAGGCAAACACCTCTTTCAGAAAACAATAATATTATCAGTACAGAATTTAGCTATTCTGTTCAGAAGTCCTAGCAATGGTTTGTGGTTCTGACTGCTGTTGACATCAACCTTGTTGTGAGAAGTTTTAACATTTTAAGTATAGTTTCTATTTTCGCAATTTACTGACTAACACAATAATCACCTTCTGTTTGGCCAGGGGACTATTAAATTGTATACATGAAATCCTAAACATTATACCAAAATTTCAACATATACTAATAAAAAAGGCTAATCTTGAGTTGGAAATTCAGTGCAACACACGAAATAAATATTATTATAAGATTAATTTATGTTTAAACAGTTTTAGCCTTGATATTATCTAATAAATTTCCAAGAGCTTTATAGCCTATTTGTCTTCTTCGTATCTCCCTTCTGAGATTTTATTACCGAAGTGTGATATGATCTAAAGCCAGCAATATATTAGCAATTCATTTGGTTTTTTTTTTGAAAACACAGTATTTCCTTTGCATCCAGTCTCTCAGATTTTTCCCCACTGATAGCTAGTTACCTTCCAAATTAGTATACAATCATATAAATTACATTTACAGACTTCTACAAAAATCCTACCTTTACCATTATGAAGTCAAAACTCAGGCATTAAAAGGTGCCTGGTCAAAGACTGCCCTTACAGACTTAATTTCTGCCTTTAGGCATTTGCATTGGGCAATTCAGGAATGTATCACAAGCATGTACAGTAGGTCAAACTTGAGAAGTTATTTGCCTGGAGATTTTATTTTTAACATGTCTCCACACAAAGAGGAAATACTTTAGGTCATGAACTGGAAGAAACAGTATTTCTTTTAATTTTTATCCTCACTGGTGTGATAAAGGAGCTAGTTAAATTTGAATATATTCATATGTTTAGAACAGAAAGCATTGTAACTGTTCCCAGAATGAAGGATGCTTGAATTACTCCTAAATTAAGTATTAAACCCCAAAATTAAGGTCATATTGAAAGAAATCCCAACATTTTTACAAGGAAAACAGTTTATGAGTCCTATTGCTATCGTCAGCAAACAATGCTAACAAAATTACAATTTTTTAAAAAACACAGTTGCAGATGAGATTCAGCCACCTTTTTTTAGACATTTTTGTCATTTTGGAGCTTATATTATTATTGAAAAGAATAACACTATTTTTTTTCCCTATGTACTCCCAGGTCTTCAAGTGCTTGTTTGTCTTTTTACTACCAAGCTGCTTTGTGCCTGCACAAACTGAAGTTGTTTATTAACATGATGTCCCTATAACACTCTGCATGGAGAACACCTGGCAATTTCTGAATATAATGTCCTTTGTGCATAATGTTATATTTTTGATCTTGGATGTTTGACAGATAAAAAACAAACACCGTACAAAGGCAACATTAGTCAGAGTATTTCTAAAAAGTACCTCTCCCCCCTTTTTGTTTTTAAGTTTGCAACTTCTATACCTATGTATATTATAATGTTATGATGATTTTAACCTACTCTGAAATAAAAGAAACCAGTCAAGGAGTACAACACTAGTTAAATTTGCATTTAATACATCCATTTTGTCTTATCAGGGCAGGGCAAAACAGTTGAAGCAGATACCCTTCTCTTCCTCTGTCTTAAACCCTTTATTTCTCTAAGTGTATTTTTCACCTTCTCCTGTAGCCGCTGTTTTACAACACACACACACTTTTCTTCCTATTATAGCCCCTTTTCCCACATGCCTCTTTCAGCTGAGTAGAGCTGAAGCAAAGGGTACCTTTCAAAAAGATGTACTTTTAAGAGTAAAACCTATTTTCATTTTCACAGCAAAAATTTTGTACAAAAGTAGTTAGTACAACTCTTAGTAGTTAAGAGTTGTGCTCTCTCTTCATATTCTCAGGGGGATTGAATCACTCCCACCTTCCCTGTAAGGGCTCCCTTTCAAAGCATCTGCTGGTTTCCAGACCAGAGCAGACAACCCCATTAGTGCCAGTGGGGTTCCCTGTGGGAAAGGGAGAGGATGTCCCACTCCAAACAGCCCTCTGTTAGGACCATCAGGGCACCACCAGCCTCGCTCCTCCCCGACACTCTTGTGTCAAGATGCTCATGATTTCTTTGAAAAGGAGACCTTGGTTTTTAGAGGCAAGCCTATTGCACAACAGCAAGGCGAGCTTAATTACCCACAAAAGAAAAGGATCTTTTATGGAAAGAGTTGGCTGAGTTTTGTCTGGTATTCTTGATCTGCAGCCAGCTGGACTGACTTAAGATCTTGTATTAATGCTATGTATTTCAGATGGCATTAAATTACCCATTCTCGTCTTTCCTTGCTAAAAAATACCCTTTGTAAAAAGTAGAAAGTTATTAAATCAGTGATTTTATACCGTGAAGGTTTTCATCTGAACAGAAAACAAACACAAAGAAGAATGCAATATATGGTATTTTGGAATTATCTGTTGATTTTTACTAACAGGTGTATAAATTGTACAGATGTGTAATTTTCATCCTTCTACGTTGCAGCATACTGTTCACAAACTTTGAAAAATACGTTTTTTATTTTATTTTATACGTAAAAATACGTTTAGAATTTTATCTTTTTCTAAATTTTACACTCTACAATACCATCTTAGAGTCCTATTCTTCATTATATTGGAGGAATTGCAGGCAGAGAACATTAAAACACAATGAAAAAACTAAATTGCAGGCAGAGGATGCAATTTAGTTTTGCAATTTAGATGCAAAATATGCAAAACCATATTTTGAACTAATATTTAAAATAGGCTGAAAATGGAACAACTAACATAAGCATACACTGGTGTACACATGCACAGGTGAGGAGATATGCTCATGCATGCAAATATCCCTACACATTC